TGCATCCGTCCACAAAAACACTGCCCCTACATCCATATCAATCCCGGTCCTTGATCTGAAGCACTCTCTCAAACGAAACCTCAGGGACTACTGGCAGAGCAAGTGGGATACACACACACAAAACAAACTACACGTTATCAAGCCACACCTTGGCCATTGGCCACCAGTATCAAAATCACGTCTAACAGAGGTAACACTAACAAGACTCAGGATAGGACACATATACACGACACACACACATCTTTTGTCTGGTGACGATCCACCATTGTGTGATAAATGTGGTGAGGCATTAACAGTTATTCACGTTTTAATTCAATGTAATCATTTAGACACTCTAAGAAGACAACACTTCCCACTACCCTACCGACAACATATACCTTTACACCCTGCAATGTTCGTCGGTAGGGAACCGCTTTTTAGTCACAAATCATTATTAGCGTTTTTAAAGGAAATTCACAATTTTCATATCATATACCCGGGCATACCGTAGCATGACCTCTCTAGAGAGGTTTTTGCTGCGGTGGCTACACAGGAAAGCACTTGCCTCACGACCCTTGCACGCAAGGGTACTAACGTGTGAGGTACTTGTGCTAATGCCATACATGTCCACCATCGTTTTTCATTATCACCAACTTTTGTCACCTATTCACACCATGCACACCTTTCACGGCATAGTCATGATTTTATTACTTGTATGTTTTACCCGCTTTACTGCGAGGAATTTTATGGCCCCTATACAGCCGCTAATCACAACCATTGTCCACATTCCTGTCTCATGAACTGGCGCTCTTTGGCCATCAAATGGCCCTTGCGCCAAAAAACACCATATATCATCGTGACAATATGTTAATTTCTAACACGCAACGGCAATAAATATTTTAGCCTGTATAACATAGCAACAGATCTAGATAGCTTAGCACGAACATAAGTTATGTGCTCAGACCAGCTGAGGTCAAACCTAAAAACGACTCCCAAGAAGCGACAAGAGTTGACGGGCATTATTATATTCTTATTGATACTCAATTCTACGTTATGAAGAAGTGTTTTATTTTTTGGACGAAATATTACATACTGTGTTTTCTTTACGTTTAAGTTTATTTCGTTCACATTAAGCGAGGTATGAAGTTCATTTAGCCAGATATTAGCACGGTGCTTTAATAAATTTAGATCTGGGCCACAAAAGAAAACGTTAGTGTCATCGGCGTACATAGCAATGGCGGGAGTAAAAGAAATGTTAGCAGTATCATTAATATATAAAAGAAAGAGCAAAGGACCCAAAATAGATCCCTTTGGGACCCCAAAGTTTATCTTACCTTAGTCTGACTTTGATTCCTGAAGCTGTGTATATTGCATTCTGCTTTCGAGGTAACTCTTAATTATGTAAGGGCCAGTCCACGAATATCATATGTCGTTAGCTTATGAAACAAGATTTGGTGTTTGATCGAATCAAACGCTTTTCGAACGTCAAGAAAAATTCCAACTGTAAAATATCGCTGTTCGAAATTACTAAGTATCTTTTCTTTTACCTGCAGTAGAGCAGATTCCACTGATTTTCCACATTGAAAGCCGTACTGGTGTTTCGAGATAATATTTCTAACTTGAATAAAATCATACAATCGTTTATAACTAATACGCTCTGCGATTTTTGAAAAAAGAGGCAGTACCGATATTGGTCGATAATTGTTCAGGTCATTTTTACTGCCACCTTTATGAATGACAGTAACATGCGCAACCTTCATTTTCTCAGGGAAAATTCCAGTCTCCAACATTCTGTTGCAGATATAAGTTAGTGGGGCAGAAATGTCACAGATAGCAGCTTTAATCAGCGAAACGCTGATTTCATCGTAACCGGGCGAGCACGTTTCTTTCAGTGCGAACACCGCAGATGCTATCTCTACATCTGAGGTAGGTGTTAAAAACATAGAATCCTTGTAGGCTGTAGGAATGTAGGAAATAGCAGATTTCGAAGATGATGCTACCTTGAAGCCAAGAAAAGCACCTGATGTCAAAAAATGCATAATAAACTGATTTGCAAGCGTCGTGCCAGAGATGGCTGTTCCATTTATGTGTAGTTCAGTAGGTATATGTGGTCGTTCAATTCCTATAATTTTGTTAACAGCACCCCAAAGCCGTTTAGGGTTATTAATTAGCGGCAAAATCTTATTTGATAATATGCATTTTTTGCCTTCTTTAGGTCCAAGCTTAATTTATTCCTATACTTTTTAAACGCGACTAAATCTGCCTGATTCTTTGTTGTCAGGAAACAAGCGAACATGAAGTCTTTTTCTTTAATGCGTTTAAATAATGACGCTGTGATCCACTCTTTTCTAGCTTTTATGTGCTTCTTAACCATAACACCTGGAAAAGCGTAATTATAGAACTCACTGATTTTTTTAATAAAGATATCGTAGGCTTTTGATGTATCAGATTCGCGGTACAATTCATTCCAGCTAGTTTCACTCATTAAAGAACAGAAGTTCGTAATGCTAGTGGGGTTTATTATCCGACGCATAATTAGATTTTGATACGTGTTTTTTTGGGCGAGGAGGAGGAAGGACGAGGAGGAAGGGAAGAAATGAAAGGCAGGGAGGTTTTAGGGCGAACAGAGCAAAAAATGGCAAGTGGTCTCTCACTCCCGACGAAAACACACCAGACACTATGTTTTCCAGATGGAAACTTGTAAAACAGACATCAAGCAATGTGGCAGATTTTTTAGTGACCCTTGTGGGTTGATTAACGACATTTTCACACACATAAAACGACATTACCTCAATCAGATTTGTTTTAACATTGCTGTTTGCAAGTAAGTCTACATTTAGATAATCAAATATTATCACATTGCATTTGTTGAGAGCAGCGAGTTCCAAAAAAAACACTCAACAATTTCTAAAATGTTTCTACTTTACTATGAGGAGGACGATATAATAAAAGAACAGTGACCTTGTTAGTAACAATACAAATTGCTTCATAGGCATCATTGATAACAGTAAACTCATGAACAATGTCATAAAGCATGTTTGCTTTTACAAAATACAGGGCCACACCATCTCCCCGTTTATTTTCACGGAACATAGAAATGTTGTTGCAACCAGGAAAATGCCTGACATTCATATTGAATCTAAACCACGTCTCTGAGAAGCCAATGATGTCAAAGCAGTATTTTAATATTGGCAAATTTGCCTCACATTCCTCTGTTTAGTTTTTAAGGCTTTGCGCATTTCAATGGTATAGGGAAAGGGTTCCATTAGGAGGGTGGCTATCATTGCTTATTAAATTATTAAAGAGGTCTGCACCAAAGTACGACGTCATGGCTACTGAAGATTACAGTCACTTCTTGCTGCTCTTGGCAGCAGTTCACGAGATCTTAGCTACATCGTCTTCTGAGGCGATCCTTATTGCACGGACATTAGGTTCTTTTGTTGCAAAAATCCTGCCCTTGGATCCTTGGTCAGAAATCTAGACGGAAACGCCGGCAAGTGGATCCTTGGTCGGTGAGGGCACGTGAAACTGCTGCAATACGCCGAAAGTGGTCGCTACCTGAGGTTGGCGGCGCTGATGTGCCTTTGAAACGCGACTTTTTAGATCGCAGTTACGGACACAGCTGCATATTGATACCATATACGGCGACAAATAAAGTAGTTGCATGTGTATATAGTGTACCACCCCGTGTTTGTCAACTCTTCACATGATGATCGAATTGGCAAAATGTCCGACGGAGCTACGGTTTACCAAATTGCCTTGGCAGCTCCTTCCACTCATCATCATTCACCCCGTGGATATGCGGGGATTTTTTTCAAGCGATACTTAACAAACTTTTTGCCGTCAAATTGATGGACACAAACTTCGTTTCGGGCAGGAACTAGTGAAAAATAATGAATTGTGTTTTTATCAAACTGCTTTGTCATGTAACTCAACTGTAATTTGAGGTGGTGTCGTTTATTGCTCTGGAAGCAGGCATGCCAACGATGCCAGAAATTGAGGGGACGGGACGCTCCAGCCCACCGGTCCCCGCTGGCACCGCCCCAGTCAATTACACAAAAGTCTTGGCCCTTCTGGCTTTCAGCCGTATCGGGCTGCTCTTTTTTAGCCACTTAAACACGATTAGCTCAGAACCTTGGACAAAGGAATGCTCCATCGATACACCAAAAAACAGGGCCGAAAATCAAGGTGACAAAAGGCATATATGTGCCCCTTCCCCACTTAAAAAAGAGTGATGTTCCCCACTTAAAAAGAGCAGCGACATGACTGATTTATAACTAGTAGTTTGCAAGCAAACTTCGAACATGGTCTTTTACATCAACGATATTCCTCTTATAACCTCTTCCAAATTGCGAGGGGAGCCCTATTGTAGAAAGTTGAAAATGGAGAGAATATGGTAAAGAAGGAAATTCAAAAAAGGGAAGAGTTTTGCAGTTTTATAATTATTTTCCAGAGCAAAGGTAGCTGCAACTATATTTTTTGTTACAGTTACTGAGTAAAAAGTAACAGTGCTACAGTTACAAGTTCCTCCAACTCAAAAGTAACTAGTTACAAGTTACTGAGAAAAGTAACTAGTTACCGGTAACGCATTACTAGTAGCTAGTTCTTGGCCAACCTAAGCTCATAACCACGTAGCCTGTTTTGCACTATTCTAAAATGCATTACAAGGCACTTTACAATAGGTGCTTGCTAAATCGTTAATGCAAAGCCACGTGTTATTGATATGCACTTACCAGGCAAGTACTAGATAGCTATGCCTAATATTAGAGAAAAAAGAAAAATAAATACATGGGAGCACTTGACGGCTGAGAATTTACAGGGTGTGTTATAGAAGGTGCCTGTAATATTGGGCCGCCGCAACACTCCGTTGAGTGAGTCATTTGTCGACGAGAATGTGCCAGACTTTGTTGGTTGGTTCCTACTCGATTTATGATAATAAGACAAACAGCATTCTTGTAAAACATTCGCTAAAAAAAAAAAGAAGGTTTGTACTTAATTCATTCATTGTCGCACATGACCAGGGAGAGCCTACCTTATGCGACAAGTGCAAGAATTCTAGAAGAAATGCACAGACGGCAACTATACCACCGTTAAAAGGGGGCGTGGACGTTGCAGTTGGGACCAGAAGACGCGCTGATCGCAAGTTGTGCAAGTCGACACAGGCATCATTGGACCCTTTCATGGTGGACTGGTGGACGGACACGGCGGATCTTGAAGATTTGCAGGACACTGGCACTCATAGAAGGGAGAGCACAGGTGAATGTCCAGGTTTGTTATAGCTGACTGTCTTGGTATAACCACAGAGCTGCTCTTCACTTCTCGTGACAACTGATCAAAATGACGAAACTGAACAGTGTTATACACTCAAACCTCGATATAACGAATCTGAATGTCGCGAAATATCAGTTGTAATGAAGTAAATAAAGAATATGTTTGCTGTAGATACAGAATATGCCTTTATAACCAAACATATCTTTATAACGAATTTTCGGATGTAATTAATGAGCTTATTTTTGCATAACATGTAACTTCGTTATAATGATGTTTGAGTGTATCCATGTCACACGAGAAGGTTTAAGGTCGTTTGTATTAAACAGGTACTCTCACCATTTCTCGAAGGTGCCATACAAATCTCCTATATACGGAGATAGCTCTGATCAAGTGTAAAGCTGAGTAAATGCTGATAAGATACTTCATTTCAGCATTAAAGTTGATTTCCAAGTGGCGCACGTACAGAGATCGGCTTGTATCGAGGCGTCGGGCTACGACGTCAATTCTTGTGGCTTCACGTGCCATTATAGGTAATTCCTGTGACGTCAGTAACCAGTGCATTCAAAATGGCTGCTTGTGTGTCGCCAACCAAGCCGCAGAGCCGAGGGGCTGCGGAAATGTCAGAATGTTTTGCAGCGAGCTTTTGACGAGAAGCTGACTGTGTTGTGACAAACAGTTGCGGTGAAAATAACACTAGATTTGTAGAACATACTTTATTTGCTTTTCCAGGGAACACCCACGTTTAGTTGTACATTTTTTAGGGTTGTGAGGATTTGGCCTTCCATACGAAACAAGGAATGAGGACTTAAAGTTTTTGTGCCTGTACCGCTTGATTTCATTTGACACATTGAATGGCAATGCATCTTGTGCATTGCTGCATGGCAGGACGTAATGTCTTTTGCAGATAATGGCAGTCACGATGCAGTAATGACTGGAATGAACAAGAAGGATAGGTACAGCATGCATAAAATTGTCACGTTTATCAAGTGTCAATTATGTTTGTGAACAGCAGATGTTCATCAAAGAGAAAGAGAGTTGATTTATTAAAAAGCAGAGAGGTCAGCCTGAGCCAGCGCACTCTAGCCTGCTACTTTTCACAGGGGAAGAGGGACAGGGAAAAAAAAAAAAGAGTGATGAAGGGTGATGATGGGGACAGAAACAAGTTATGCGTTCATCAGGCTGCGTTTACACCATTGGTGATACGGCAGGCCGCACTTCAGGCTGATGGCTACTACTGAGCACATGGCTTGACATAGCGAGCAGCAGTCTTGATGGTCTTGACTATGTATTTAGGAACGAGGATACTTGTATTTTCTGAGCTTCAGCCAGTGCTTCTTGTCACCTTTGTAGCTTTCCCACTCGGTGTCAGTGATGGACCTGAGAAATGATGCATCCTTTTTCTGTTTCTGGTACAGCGCCACCTGTGCATGGATCATCAGGTCGTCACGAAAGAGTACAAAGCCCCGGAGTTTCCGCCGTACATAGGAGTCATCTAGATAGCGTAAGTACTGGTCAACACCTGAGTAGTTGCAACAAATGTTCATATGTATGTGTAGTTTTCTTTCTGCTCATTTAGCAAATACATAGTGCCCACCTCGAGACATACAGTAGACGGCCGACTTTTTGGACATGCCATGTAATTCAGGTGTCTTCGAAACACCATCACTTGCGCTGTAGAGCCAAAAATGTTAGGACGTCAGCAATCTGAGAGGCTGATTTGCTTGACTCTTATATGTTGGTGGACCTTCTGCCACGACTATAGCATCTGAATCAAAGTTGCCCTTGTTGCAGTGCTATCACCCAGAGTAGTTTTGAAGTATCAGCTTTGCAGCAATGCAGCACTGTGATGCAGTCAAGAATTACTGTATTCCAGTCTGAAAAGTGTTTTTCACATTCTCATCTGCAATCCCTGGTAATACAAGAAGCAAAACACACTTCGTACACGTACTGGTAGGGCTCTGGAGCTATAGTAAGGTACAACTTGAGTACAGGAGAAGCTTAGGGGGCAGGAACATGACTACTGGTTGACTTTGTGACTGTAGAAATGGCCCGGCTCTTGAGCTGAACGGCTGAGCCAGGAAGTACTTCAGCTCGTGATGTCAGTGTGGAGTGAGGGTTCTTTAGTGCAGGCATTGTTTGCAGGCGATGCGTTTTAGGCTTGTTTGGTGCACCGAGTCACCAGTTATTGCAGTCACTGTAGTGTTGTATGACGGCACTAAAAGTTTCAGTGCGCTTCTTACATATTGATATTGGTGACAGTCGCTTAGCGATGAGTCTCAACTATATAAAGTTAAGTACACCTTGAAACAAGTGAAGGTGTAGGTTAGACATTTGCTATGTCCAACACTTCGTGCGGAGTGTTTTTGCATTCATACGAAGCCTACGTCATGCTTTCACAGGCACATCTCTTTAATTTCATTGCAAATCTCACGTTGTACTCATTGTAATCATTCTCACACCCATTGGTGCGAGAATGATTATTGCTAATTTTAGTACACATACAAACATTTTTTGTGGTGATTCAAATGCTTTTCAGACAAGAAAACTCGAGTCGTAAGAGGTGCAAGTCATTGCTAAATGCTTGTCCTTACTCTCTTCAGCAGGAGGGACCTGCATCGGGCAGCAGCAACGAGTCACTGGACTCGGCATCCTTCGTGTCCACAGGACCAATTGGTGCCGCCTACTCAGAGCAAGGAGCTGAAGTTGCTGTACACCAGACTATACTTCCAGCAAATGTGGCCAAACCTGTCACCATCGAGTTATCAGCAAATTTCCTTTACATGTGCGCATTTTGTTTGACTGAATTCGCTGACCTACAAGACCTCGCCGGCCATGTAGAGGTGTGTCCGTGGCCCGAACCGTATCTGTGCGGCCTGTGTTCCAAGCCGTGCGAGGACTGGAAGACGACGAGGACCCACATGGGCGCCCATGTCGGCAACAAATTGAAGTGTCCGTTTTGTCACCGTAGGCATTACAAATTCAAGTACGACCTTGTGCGCCATCACATCATGCTCCACGTAACTGTCTGTCAGTTTATGTGTGGCCTGTGCCGATCGGCGTTCCCAACCAAAAAGGCCCTGCAGTCCCATCATTCCGTGTCTCGATCGAAGGGGCTGCCCTGCAGGTACATCAAGCACCGGCCACGCAAGGACAATGTGAGTGGTCCACGACCCGCAGCTTCGACTCGTCAAGGAGCATTCGTTCAGGTGCAACATCTGTGCAACGTCTGCTCATGTGCGATATCTGTTCAGTTGTAACATTTGCCCAGCTGTGTTCAACTGTGGGCCATTACTGCAACACCACTCGGCCAATTGTGAGGATAAGAGACTGCCTATGCTGGCATTGAGCCGGATTAAACTGTACCGAATGGCCACAAGAAAGGGCCATTTAAATGCTTGCATCTAGACACATGTCAATTCGTGTTTAGTTGTTCATCTTGTGACATTGAGCGCATGGAGGAACTGAACTGTTCGCTGCAGTCTTCGTAAAAGAGGTGCTGCTTGTGATGTTTGTGACACCTGGCATTATTGTCATTTGATCATAACTTGTAATTACATTTGTGCATGAATATATATTTAACTTGTACAGAATTTATCGTAGCACCTTTATTGAGAGTGAGAAATTAGCATGCAAACTACGCAGTCAGTACCTCTGTGTCCGACGTGACATACAAGGGCCAGGGTACTCGTATGCAGGTTCCGAGAACGCAGAGCTGGATCAACCGTTCCGGCTCCTATGACCTGAAGACACCCCTGGCTAAAATGAAGCAAGGAATGGCACTGGGGAGAGACAAAGTAACAGTGAAATTACTTGCCAACCTCCCCGACCAGGCGTACGACGCGTTACTCGCATACATAGACACTATCTGGCTTGGTGGGACACCCCTCCCAATCGAATGGAAGACAGCCCTGGTCACTTTCATTCCAAAAGCCGGCAACGCCATCAACACGGATAACCTTCGCCCCATCTCTCTCACGTCTTGTGTGGGAAAGCTGATGGAGACTATGGTGCGAGATCGGCTATCCGAGTATTTGGAGAAACAACACGTATTTGCTGACACCATGTTCGGCTTTGCCTGCACCAGTCCACACAGGATGTCTTGCTTCAGTTAGACCGCGAAATTCTAAATGCCCTCGATTACCTTCTTAATGGCAAGGCTGTACTTTCGTTCTACTTGAAAGGAGGTTTCGACAGCGTCACAGATGACATCATTCTGACGCACCTTTCCCAAACCAACTGCGGACACAACACGTTTCGATAAATTAGACAATTCCTCCCTGACCGACAGTCATACATCCGAATACAAAATGAAGAACACAGCTCCTACCAATAAGGCATGAGAGGTACCGCACAGGGCGCAGTCCTTTCACCCTTACTGTTTAATCTGGCTATGATGAACCTACCGGCTCAGCTGGAGGGTGTTGAAGGCATACAATACGCACTTTATGCTGACGACATTATTATATGGGCTAAACATGGATCGGTAGGAGGCGTAGAAGCCAACCTGCAGCAAGCGGCGGAGATCGTGGATACCTACGCTCGCCGCTGCGGCCTTCAGTGCTCCCCGACCAAATCAGAATTTGTGCACATTCGCTCTTCGGCAAAGTGCACTACTAAAATTGAACTGTCCTTGCAAAGCAGACCCATCCCAGAACACGATGATATCATAGTGTTGGGTCTGTTTATTCGCAAACATCACCGAGTCGATACAACATTGACAAAACTGCATAAGGTGGGTGACCAGGTGGGCCGTATGGTCCGCCGGGTTTCCAACAAGCGCGGGGGGTTACGTTGCAGGGATGCCTTGCGGCTGGCGCATGCATTCGTAACCAGTTGAGTCCTCTACTCTGCTTCTTACTCTACCTGCGCAAGTTCGATTAGAACGCTCTTGAGGTGATTCTCAGGAAGACGTACAAGCGTGCCCACGATCTATCTATAACCACGTCCAACCAGCGTCTTATGGGCCTGGGGATGATAAACACTTTTCCGGAGCTCCGGAAAGCACACTTGACCAATCAATACGACTTCGTCGGGTCGCCGCCTATTAGCCCGACTACACATCCACCATCCAACAGAGACGGAGGAGCGCGTACGCATTCCAGAAGTCTGGAGATACGCCGTGCATGTGCACCCTCTTCCGGCCAACATGACACGTGACGACCACAGTGGCAGGTGCCTTGCGCGGGTGGAGGCACTAGCTCACCACTATGGGAACAAACACGGCATATTTTGCATAGACACCTCCGGCCCCCACCATGGGTGGTGGTACACGGCTGCAGTCGTCCACCAAAATGTCGCGGTGAATGGCCTCACATTCAAAGCACAAGACATAACATATTCGGAGGAAGTCGCCATCGCACTAGCTGTTGCAGACCTGGACTCGCGCGTCCTTATTACAGACTCAAGAGGGCCTGCCAAAATATTCAACGACCTGACTTACCGCATCTTACAAAACAGCAATAACGTCGGAGCCCCCGCGTCCCAAAGGATCATATGGACTCCAGCTCACATAGGCCTCGAAGGCAATGAAATGGCTGACGCCGCCGCCTGCGCGCTCACTCTCCGGGTAAAAGCTTCAGACCCTTCCGAAATGGATCTCAAACCCAATCTGGCCTTAACATTTTGAGAAATTACTGAATTCTACCGATTCGGCCATTCAATTTATACTAAACCGTGTAAGCGTCTTACAAAGGCAGAAGAGAATTCGCTCCTCCGCCCTTGCATCAAAACACTGCTGTGCCCGGCAGTTTTTAAATATCTCGATCCTGCTTGCACAGAAAAATGCCCGCACTGTGCGAAGAAGTCTTCTACGGGGTGTGGGCATGCCAGTCGACCCCTAGCCTCACCCCAAAACCAAACCCAATCAGGGAGAACTGGGAGGCGGCCCTTCTCGGCTGCTCCGACCTGGCGAGCCAGAAGACCTTGGTCGACTGATTACGAGTCGCTTTGGACACCAATGGGCTTCTGTAATGAGGAGCCCACCTTGCCAGTCGACCCCTAGCCTCACCCCAATACCGGACCCTACCCAGAGAGAACTAGGAGGCGGCCCTGCTCGGCTATTTTGCCTTGGCGAGCAAGAAGACCCCGGTCGTCCGAGTCGCTTTGGACACCAATGGGCTTCTACCTTGCCAGTCGACCCATAACCTCACCCCAAAACCGAACCCCACCTAGGGAAAACTGGGAGGCGGCCCTGCTCGGCTGCTCCGCCCTGGCGAGCCAGGGGACCCTGGTCAACCGAGTCCGAGTCACTTTGGACACCAATGGGCTTCTGTGTTGAGGAGCCCATCTTTTGTTTGGGAGGGGTGGCTCGCACCGGGCCACCACCCTTACACTCCCTGTATATAGAAATAATAAAATTTTTTTTCTCTCTTCACAGTTTTTCAGATGCATACATAGATAGGAACAGTGGCATGGAACAAAAGTTCCATGCCACTGTTCTCCTCTCTCTCCTTTCATGATGTGTGTGCTGTATATACACCCTCGTGTGGAATAAAACCTTGGTTGTAAGTCAGCACATTATCTCTTGGTTTCACTGTCCTGTGTTTCACGCTGTTTTTTCACTTCGTTGTAAAATGCACTAACCACCTGTCGTACTGTAATTGGTCGGGCTTATTACAGTCACTCTTCACCCTGAGAAGCAATGCATTCTCTGTATCAATACCTGTACCTTCGTGCTGTGTAAGTGCTTGTTTCCGATGCATGCTCTCTTTTTCTCTTCAGCCACGGATGGTCACAGCCGCTATGGATGAAAAGGCGGCTCAACGGCAAGCGGAGTTGAAGGCTCGTAGAGCTGCTGCAGCACGTCAACGCCGGCAGACGGACCCTCTGTGGAGGGCTCGCCAAGCTGCAGCAGCACGGCGACGCCGGCAAGCGAACCTGGAGGCGGTGAGAGCACGGGAAGCGGCAGCAGCACGATTACGCCGGCAACAGAACCCAGAGGCGGTCAGAGCGCGGGAAGCAGCGGCAAAACGCCGGCAGCGTTCAAAAGTTAACCCGAAGTCTAAGGTGCGGAAAACTGCAGAAGCACGGCAACCCGAATAATCTCTTGTTGCTTTGCTCACTGGTGATCATTTACTCTGTATATTCGGTGATTTTTTTAGTTGTTTTGGTGTGGACTATGGACGCTTTCTACATATGAATCCCAGACAACAGGTGTGAAATATCTCCGAATTTCAAGTTTTCGTCACCCAGAATCTGGAAGCCAGCCTCACTGTTATGAAGATTATAACAACGAGCCGTCGCAGTGCACTGTGCGAATTTCGAATCATACATACGATCATAAAACACAGAAATTGGTGCCGGAATCGGTGAACGACAAATCACTTAGCGTTGTTTGTATGCACAACGTGCGACTGACAAGATATGAAATACGTGCTGCTTATCTGCTTTGAGATACTATGTCCTAGTGACGTAAGGTTGTGTTTAAACATTGCAGTGAAATTGCTCCCCTTATATGGTTACCAAAAGTGATCTTTTGTAATATAGTGGTAATAACATATATTCAATGCATCGGTAGGCTCTACTATGTCTTTTATCGAGGTTTTTGGCACCATTGTCTTTATCTTGTGCTACAATAAAAAATATTTGAATTTCGTGTCAATTCTCGTATAATGTATTACGTTATGCATGCATAAGTCAAGCATCATTGTATGTTGTGGTCAAGGAGCTGGTGTATCTGCTCAGCACATATGCCACTCCGCGATAAGCAATGTTTCCTTTCTCTACTTTTTTAACACTTCTGCACTATGTTGATGTGCTTTTCACTCGTCTCTTGTGTTCTCGAAATGAATTTCAGTTGCTAGTCAAGGCTCATCTATGTCCCTGCTGTCTTACTCTGACTGCGTCGTTTTCACGCTGTACTAAACTAGCCCAACATTCGATGCTATTGAAAGAGGAACTTGTCGTTCATTACACACATACACAAAAAAAGAACATGTCACATCCGCTTAGCTTCACTGCATGACCCCACTGCGATGGTCTAGTGGCTAAGGTACTCGGTTGCTGACCTGCAGGTCCTGGGATTGAATCCCGGCTGTGGCAGCTGCATTTCCGATGGAGGCGGAAATGTTGTAGGCCCATGTGCTCATATTTGGGTGCACTTTAAAGAACCTCAGGGTGTCGAAATTTCCGAAGTCCTCCATTACTGTGTCTCATAATCATATGGTGGTTTTGGGACATTAAACCCCACATATCAATCAATCGATCAGCTTTACTGCATGCATAGAGTATTAAAAATTTGATGGTGTTCTGGCGCTGTAATGATTCAGTCACCGTGGGAATTATGGGAAGTTGAAGCTTCAGATTGGATTGCGCTATGTACCCCTAGAGCTCTTACTACGCCGCAGATCTATTGTGCCACAACGGTGCGTGTGGTGTGTTCTGGTGTAGGTAGCGTGTTGCAGCACAAAGCATTTGTTGAAAGCTGCTGAAGTGTGCTAGGTCTCTTGGTTTGCTGTGATGTTGTAGCCTTAGAGGTTGTATTTGACAGTTCTAGCAAAGTGTCATTCAAGCACTGGTCTGCATAGACGTAGTGTCCACTGCCGTCCAGGAAACTGCATATAGTTATTTTTTTCTTTACTATAACTGCATCTTGCCAAGATGCGATCAACTCGATGGCAAAACGACTGTAAAGTCAAGTACACACATAGTTACGCACCACTTATTTGTTCGATTTCACAGTTCTGCGCATGGACGTACACTCCTGGTCTTGCAGGAGAAATACATTAAGTGTACCTCACTTGATACAGTATATTTACCCCAAGATTAAGGGTGAAATTCGTCTTCAGACAGTACAAATCGAATACTGATGCATTCAAAGTTCAGTACAAATGTTCATCTGGTATGCCGAAATAGTGAGAAATTCTTTTGATGGATGCACATTGTTTTGCCGATAAATTTGTATCGCGTTATCAGCTGTGATACATTGCCTAATTTTAATCGCACTTATAGCACTTTTATTGCACTTTCCCTGTGTGTAGGGGCTGAAGACAAGTCCCATTGTATGCAGAAACGACAGGTTGTGCTCTGTGAAACCTGCGAAGGTCAAGTGAAGAGTCGAGGCATTTGCGAAGTGCTTCATTAGAGTAAATGTTGTTCAGAAGGCCACACACCACGAGAGGATCTCTAAAGCCATACAGGCTGATTTGTTCCTTTCCACAGTCTCCAGAGAGAGAGAGAAAATAAAATGAGGGAGAGGCAGGGAGGTTAACCAAAAAATGGAGCATCCTGTTTTCTACCCTGCACTAGGGAAGGGGGAATGGGGAAGAAAGATTGGAAAGAAAGCGAAGAGGGAAATAAACGCGCGCGAGAAAAAAAGGGGGGGGGGGGAGTTGGGGTGCTACAAACTATACAATAGGTCGCTGCCACGCAAAAAGTTCAGTAAGGCCTTCACTGATTTTCTGTGAGCACACAAATCATGTCGTCTTTCCAGCACTGATTGTTCAGACAAAGGTCTGTCGTCAAGGCGAGCTAATGCAGCAGCTAGTTGCCGTCTTTGCACGCTGTAACGAGGGCAGTGACAGAGAACGTGCTCTATAGTTTCATCGCTGCCGCAATGACCGCAAGCAGCACTGTCTTCCATGCCGATTCGGAAGGCGAAAGCTTTGGTGAAGGCGACACCAAGCCATAGTCGGCAAAGCACCGTTGTCTCGAGTCGAGAGAGTCCAGGCGGAGGCCGGAGTCGACGAGACGTGTCCAGTCTATGCAGTCGCGTGTGCCGTAAGCACTCGGCGTTCCACAGGGATTTTAATTCTGCATTAGCGATTTTTCGGATGGTCATTGCAGCATCAGTCCTCGAAAATGGTACAGATTCTTCTTCACCATCTTCGTGTGCTGATCGGGCAGCTGCATCGGCATGTTCGTTGCCCAATATGCCGCAGTGACTTGGAAGCCACTGAAACGTGATTCTGTGTCCTTCGTCGAAGAGGTGGTGAAGCAGCTCTCTAATTACCAGCACTAGTTGTTCATGAGGTCCCCGGCGTAAGGCGAATATCAAACACTGTAGTGCTGCCTTAGAGTTCGTGAACACGCTCCATTTCTTGGTTTCTTGGTGTTTGATGACTTGAATTGCGCTACGTAGAGCAGCAAGTTCCGCAGCTGTCGATGATGTCTGGTGGGATAAACGAAGCTTCACCGTTGTCGCTGTTGCAGGAAAGATCACCGACCCTGCAGACCCATCCACTTTAGTTCAAGCGTCAGTATAGATGAGTATGCTCACTGTATTTCTCATATAACAAGAGAAGAGAAAGCTGCTTTAGCGCTGGAGACGAGAGCCGTGCTTTTGACCCTATGCCTGGAACCGTGAGTTCAACATGTGCATAGGTCATACTCCATGGGGGAGTTGAAATCCTCGATGGAGTTCTATATCCCGTAGGAATGCGTGTTGTTGCGAACGACGGACCGATCCCGCCGAAGCCACCACTGTTGCGAAAGACGGCGACGCCAACACGGCCCCGGAGGCGCCACTGCTTTCAACTCCGCCGGGAAGGTCACCAGCCGTTTGGTAGCGTATGTTTATCAGCTCGCGACTGCTTCTGCGCGGAGCTGATAAGACGAGCGGACGAGACGACGGTGAGTTAAACAAGGTTTATGTACAGCATATTTACAGAGGCGTTACAATTTCGGCACTGGGGCCGACAGAGACTCGAAGAGCCGAGCTCTCCTCTCTAACACATAGGTCAGCCTTTCGCCTAAGACCGCTGACTCACACACATGTCGGCTCTCCGACACGGGGACGCCTCTCACATAGGACCGCCGATCGCGACGCGCCGCAGGGCTTCTTTTATTTACACCGGGTCCAACCAAAATGTCCAATCAGAAGCGCCGCTGGTCGTCAGCGCAGATTCTTCCAATGGGGTTGCCGCGTCATGCGTCAGACCACCAGACACGAGAACGCCGGCTCGCTGTCACGTGCGCCGCTGACTCAATGCACGTGGGCGAGAGGGGCGCCGCGCGTGTTCACGCCGTCGAGGTGATCGCGCCAGGCCGACTGCGGGCTGGCCTTGACCCAGATTGCCTTTTTCAGAGGCACGGTCGTTTGACGAGGACTCGCTGGCATAACAGCACCCCCGCCGCCAGACAATGCACCGGAAAGACGAGCTGCTTCCACGGGGCTCGGATGTCAGGTGCGCTCGTTCGCCAGGTCCCTCCAGGTTCGCCTCCAGGGCCATGGGGAGACTACAGCTCCAAACTGTTCCGGGAACACATCCCATTTTTGACGACGGATCCCAGCTCCACTGGCTTGTCGCCACAACTTGCTGACCAGCTTCACTCGTCTCTTCTGACCATCTTCGGTTTCAGCACTTGTCGATGGTTCTGCAACTTGCCAAGAACGGATCGACAACAGACAACACACGACACACGCAAGTGCCTTCGGTCACCCGACAGAACACCAGACAAAGTATAGTACAACATATACCTATCTACGTGTCTATCGGAATTTTGTTCCCTCTACATCAAGAGGCACATGTGGGACACAAGACTCTTAAAATGACAACTCAATCTTTTTTTTTTCCCACGTACAACAACGTAACGAATTAGAATACCACAAAGTTGGCCCCTTGAGATCACTCTAAACGAGAGCGCTCAGCCCAGGTCGTGATGAGGTCAAAATTTTGCCCCGAATCGCCAGCCAGAAACCGAAAGGTTGAGAAGGTACTAACTAAACGCACGGCTCAATGCACCTGCATTAGCGTTTACCTTTCCTTTTTTTTTTCTTTAGCGAACGTCAAAGTTGCGCTGTGGAGCAACATGCTCCACTTCAGTAACCGGCCACTTTTAGGCGACGATACCTATGCGGCACCAAGAGCGGCTCACACTTTCGACGTTGCACAGGGGAACAACGATACGGCTTGCTACGGATTGACTCCTCACCGCTTAGCTCGATATCGTGTTCGATCACCCTCGTGTTTCCGGGGCGGTCCGAAAACACGTCTTCAAACTCGGAACCAATCTTTCTCAGATCCTCTTTCTCAGGTCCTCCTTCACTTAAGCTAGGCTCTAGGTTTATCTGCTCCCGGATTACTTTCGATCCCCCTTCAATTACCTCACTAGAACTCAAAATTTCTGCTTCCTCTTCCTTTGAAGCATTCAACAGCTGATTTACGACCGCTTGATGTTGAACATTGGGTTTCATCAAGTTGTAAATTTTGTTCTGCCGCCTTCCTACTTGCACCTCATAATTTGTATCGCAAGGCTTCGATAATACTTTGGCGGGCCCTTCCAAATCAACCTCAAGCTTGTTCCTTTTGGATGGCTGCAGCAGCATTACCTGATTATCAACTTCAAAAGCGCGCTTCTTCCCCGATTTCTCGTAGTGCTCCTTCGACAGCACTTTTGCCGCGTTTTTCTGGCTTTCCACTCGCGCTTCAATTTGGCTTTCCACTATTGCTTCAATCTGGCTCTCCACTAGCGCTTCAATTTGGCTTTCCACTAGCGTTTCAACCTGGCTTTCCACTAGCGCTTCAATCGAGAAATCCTCACGCTGCTCTCGAATGAGCGTCTCTCGATCAACTCTCGGCAGCTTGCTCCAACTTTCCGCTACAGGCGAGAGCGTTGCAACCCTCTCGCTCTGACTCAACGGCGCCATGTCGTCTCCCCTTT